CAACATGGCTTCGAAAACTCTTCAGGAAATCTTCTCGTAAGTGTATTTGAAATGAGATATACATCTTCATTTTCCACATTTGTCTGATTTATTTTTGTTGTTTAGGTATCTGCTCAAAAATGAGGTAAGAAAAACACAGTGGCTAGAAAAATAGTTTATGTTCTGTTTAATCCTCTTTTCCTGCTATCACATGACGACTTGTGGAACACGATACACTTTTTTTATTTTGTTTCGCTCTTAATTAAGCTTAATTAAAGGGAGAGTTTGATTGRCAACAATGTGAATACAAACTTGGGAAAATGTCGATTTATTATGATGTTTTAAAGAGTATTGACTTATTTATATTGAAAATTTGTCTAAAAATTAAATTCATTCGCAGTTTATTCCAGATATCACGTGAGTTTGGTTTAGTTTTAGTTTTAAWAGCTTCAAATTGCATCTTCAATCAATCTTCACTTGATAATTTTAAAACTGCTCTTAAAACCTTCTTATTTAAACAAACTTATGATCTGTAACTCTATTTTAACTTTCTTTATCTTAATTTTTACCTTAATTTTATTTTGCTCTTTAATAGAAAAAGTTATATAAGCGCTTTATAAGCTTAGATTATTATTTATTATTATTAATAATGTTATGGAATATGAAAATTAGGGCCTATCCTTATCAATTGGGAAAATGGAATCTTTTGCACGTGGAATGTTATTTTGATGTTATTTTGTCACACTTTATTAGGAAGAATACATCAAGCACCTGGCAGATACTGTTGCAATTAAAAGTGTTTCAGCTTGGCCAGAAACCAGAGGAGACATTGTCAAGATGGTCAACCATGTTGCTGAGGTATTTGTTTTCCACATCATGAAAAAGTTAARAAAGTTGAAAATAAGAGCCCACTTTTTAGTGTCCTGAAACATTGTACCTTTCCACCCCCTATGATCACCACAATCCAATCTCCTTATCTTGGACTGAAAAGTTTTCTTTTGTTTTTACTCTATACATATATGTACATAAAAGATATAAAATTAAAGTCCCTCTTAGAGCACATGTGGCTACTCCAAAACTCGACGAGGCATATCGGCATTCAGCCTTTCTTCGGTGATATTAATTGTGAAAAGATTGAATCCATTTCAGAAAAGAGTCGCATATAAGTCAAGTGTTACAGATTTCTTGCTTGCTTATATCGCAACGACATAGTGGATTACTCCGTAATGGAGTAACCATGAAAACACTGATTTTATCTCATTTTTGCAAAAAGTTTCCAATATCAACCTCAGCCCACTCCCCCTTTCTCCATCATGCCTGAGAATGAATTGCTCAAGAATGATAAACTTACCATTGAGAGCATATCTTCAAGAGCTTCCTTATGAAATTATATTTAAGGGCATTTGCCATCACTGGTTATATTSATTGCATATTTTTTAGGAGTTAAAGAGGATGGGTGCAAGTGTTGAGCTATGTGACATTGGTGAGCAGACTCTCCCAGATGGTCAAAAAATTCCTTTRCCTCCTATTCTTTTAGGGAATCTAGGAAATGACCCTTCCAAGAAAACGGTAAATACCATACAATAGATTTAAGTAAATATAAATGACACTTCTTTTGATTTCAAAATTTGAAGACAGTACTTGCTTGACCAACCTCTTATTCTTGAGTTTCAATCACATGATCAAGAATCCCTTGAGAATTAAAGAACAAAGCTATTGACATCATGTTGGCGATGACATAATGTGATTTCAACTGAGGAATTTGATTCATAATTCAGAGAAAATAAAATTTGAAATTAAGCATAATATAAATTTGGTGACATCAAAGAGTACAATAAATTAATTGTATAATTTTATTATGAAGCTGTACATGTGATATAATTTATGTTTGCAGCAATTTTAGTCTGTTATTATATGGTTGAATAAAATTATGCAATTTGATTGGCTTAGAGGAGAGGTATTTATCCTTAATAGTGGTATTTCAATTTGCACAATTTTATTTAAAGCATTTACCACTACAAAACATGATATTACCTAGTATACCATCTATTGTAATGTTGCTCTTCATGTCTTCAGGTCTGTATCTATGGGCATTTAGATGTCCAGCCTGCTTTAAAGGTACAAAATAATATTATCTACTAGTATTACAAAGCATAAAACAACTTCACCTTTATCCCTGTTAACTGTACTTTTTAACAGTATTCTTATTGGCATTGGGGACCGTTATGAACCTTTTTATTGGTTTCTGTTCTTGTTTCATGTCATTGTATGCATGTGCCCCATAGTGATATGACATCATTGTCAATAAGATTGTGYTATCATTGCAGGAAGATGGATGGGACACAGATCCTTTTGTCTTGAAAGAAATTGATGGGAAGCTGTTTGGAAGAGGATCAACTGATGACAAAGTATGCTCCAATAAATCCCTTTATTTATTATAAGTATATTAAATGAATAATTGCAGCTTTAATTTTAAAAAAAATATTTCATTTGGCCTGCATTTTTAGCATGATTGACATCAAGTTCAAAATTTTCAGACAACCTTACAGTTGACTCAAAAGCATTTTTAGCTGATTAACAGCAGTCTAGCTAATTGTACATTGCAGTGGTGATTTAAGTTTTTTATCTGTACTGGTCACATCACATAGCAATGCATAGTTCTAGAGATAAGACCAAATTTCTTTGATTAATTGATGGCAGGCTGTTGTCTTCTGTGTTGACTGTCTGACATTGTTATATAATCCTATCTTGAATTTTGAGGTGTTTTCAGTTTCTGTGGTATTGACACCTCTGACTTACCAAATGCTATGAATGTGCTGCTTTACAGTCACTTCCTCATAGTCATCATGCATTGGTTATAATAAAATAATTTTATACTTTTTATAATTATAACCAATGACTGTATTTTAACTAAAGCAGAAAAGCCAGCCACATTGAGTGTACAATATTATATATGAACAATGGCAGTCCACTATTATGATTATAGGATAATTTGCTGTTTTGTTATAGGGAAGAGATTTTAACTGAACAACAATGACACTGAAGTTTTACAGACATGTTTTGGCATTCATTTGACTGTATTTGTTATGCAC